GGAAAAAAATTTTTGATGATTTTAATAAATGTAGAGAAAAATTAACATCTACTCACAAAAAAAAAAAAATCAAATGAAACAAAAGGGAACTTGCTTAATCTGATGAAAGATATCTATAACCACCCCCACCACACACACACAGAAATTTTAATGGTGGACTATTAAACTTTGCTGAAATTCTATCACCTTTTCAATTCAACGTTATGGTGGAGGTCCTAACACATCCAATAAAAGGGAGGATGGGAAGACGGAGACTTTGCAAACGGTATGACTTCACGTATATGTAGAAATTCCAGGCAATTATTAAAACTAATAAGTGAATTCCCCAAGGTCACTGGAAAAACAGCTCAAAATACAAAAATCAAATATATTTGTACATACAACAAAAATGAAGAAAATAAAAATTTAAAGTGGTACCATTTATATTGATGAAATCAAATACCTAAAAATAAAGCAAATATGTATAAATTTTTATAGAGAACATTAGCAAGAAATATTTCTGAAGTCCCAAGTAAATGGAAGAACACACCATATTCATGAATTGGAAGATTCACTGTAGTAAACATGTCAATTCTTCCCAAGCCGATTTACAAAGTTAATGCAATCCCATTCAAAATCCCTGAAGGTTCTTTGTAGAAATTGACGTGTTCATTCTAATAATTAAAGAGACTGCAAAAGGTGAGCTAGGGAAACCTTGGAAAAGAAAAAGCTGTAAGACTTACATTACCAGATGTCAATACTTAAAGCTACAGAAATAAAAACAGTATAGCACTGACACATGGATAAAAGAAGAGACCAATGAACTAAAAGAGAGTCAAGAAATACATTGATACAATCACTGATTTATAACAAAGATAACTCTGCAGTAGAGTAGGGAACAAAAACTTCTCAAAAAAAGAAAAAAATTAGGGCGCCTGGGTGGCTCAGTTGGTTAAGCGACTGCCTTCGGCTCAGGTCATGATCCTGGAGTCTCTGGATCGAGTCCCGCATCGGGCTCCCTGCTCAGCA